ACACACACACACACACACACACACACACACACACACACACACACACACACACACAACAACGACACGACACGACACGACACGACACGACACGACGACACACACACACACACACACACACACACACACACACACACACACACAAAGACACACATAGGCTTTTTCTGCTGACCTGTCAGCTATGGTAAAGGTGACTTTGGGAGCGTAAATCTCCGACTTGATGCGGCGGAATGAAGGCTCGGGCGTGAGCGGCTGCAAGGAGGGCAGCGACGCGCGAAGTTTCCCGCAAACACACACTGCCGTTCCATCGCCTGTATTGTTCCGACCTGCGAGATAAAAGGTCAGCAACAATAACTATCACCTTGCTGCTATATGTTTCCCATACCGAATTTACCTATCGGCTGGGATTAATTAATAAATAGCTGTAGCCATTCAGTGTTGCGATAATAGCAATAAAAATGCTGCTTAGTGACGAATTGCGTTAAAGTCATCGATGTGGCATGCACGATTAAAGCACGTATAGACAAATCCAGTTGGACCGAGGTATAGCAAGAATATCCAATGGGGACGTGGCCCTCTCGTTCACACGGATAATTCAGGTCAATTAGCTGCTGTCATTCATATACAGACTTACCGCAACGCAGTTAGTCTGTAAGCATAGACTTTCGGTGCTTATAGTACTTTCAGACTAATGAGGTATGGGCTTTGATCATCGATGATGTTTACTAGATATAATATGACATTAGAGTTTCTATAGATACTAATGATGATCGTAGCGGGCGGTGCGAAGCGAGTGCATAGTTAGCACCGCCTGTACCGCCCCTTGCCGGCCACGACTTACTCGGTAACTGATGCGGTTCGAGTCCGAACAGGTTCGGATTGCTGCCGGCGTAGGACGATCCGGTTCGCCTCACCGACATGACGCTCTCCTTCGTGTTCTTCTCCGGCCGCAGCAACACGACGTAGAGTTTCGTGAGGAAGAGGCAGAAGAGCGCGACGGTGGCGCTCATGGTAGCGCCGAAGCACAGCGTGACGACGCGTATCGAGTTGCTCGGATTCGCGAAGTACATCGGCATGAAGGCCAGCCACACGACGCACGTCGTATAGTTCGTGAAGGCGATGTAGCGCGTCTCGTTGAAGCCGGACGGACACTTGCGCGTCTTGAAGGCGAATACAGTGCAGAGTATTATCAGCAGGAACGGGTACGTGAACCCGACGAGATAGCTGGCGCCGTCGGCGCCGCGACAGATCAGCAGATGGTCGGCGCGCGTCGGATACGGCACGTGCGTCACTGCGGGCGGCTCCATCACCAGCCAGATGGCGCAGATGAGCAGGTAGACGCCGATGATGATGCTGGAGATGACGAGCTGCGAGCGTGGGCTCGTGCAGCGCGTGCGCTTCGCCGCCGCGTGCGTCGCGTTGAAGATGCGCGCGATGCGGTTGGTCCGTACCAAGATGGCGGCGTAGCCGACGGTGTACGAGAATCCGGTGAAGAAGCGCGTGCGCGCGCAGCCGCCGCGCGTCGGCCGCGCCGTGAAGACGATCGTCGCCGCGTACGACAGGAAGATTCCCGCGAGCAGCAGCAGGCTCAGCTCGCGGCCGCTAGCTTTGATCAGCGGCGTCTGCCAGTGCACGAAGAAGACGACGGCGACGACGACCGTTCCGAGCATGCCGACGCAGGCAACGATGATCGCTGCCATGCCGCTCCCGTCACCGTAGCTCATGTAAGACTCCGGAATCGGCACGCACGAATCTCGGCTGGCGGCGGGGGTCGTGCCAAGCGGACAGTCGGCGCAGGTCGCGTTGTTGGGCAGATACTGGTAGCGGGTGCAGTCGATACATACCCAACAGCATCGTCCCTCTACCTCCTGCTGTCGCTGCCACACCTAGATGAATATATAAGGATATTTGTATTCGGCTTGTATTCTTCACAATGTTGTGTTCCTGACTTAATTGGTATTGCTGCTGCCACACTTGAGCATACAGAGTAATATACGTTAGAAGATATGTGTATGTTATGGCAAATAATTAATTTAAATTACAATTATAATCTTAAATGATAATAAAATGATGATGAACTAAAATTAAATGATAGCTACACAGATCTATATTCGGGTCCGTTTTGTTAATGAAGATGACAATATTCGCGAAAATATGTGACTAGAAGCAAATCGAGAAATATAGTTACGAGAAGGTTCGAACGCTCATTTTATCAAGAAAAAACATTTGAAATATATGAAGGGATGTAATGATTCTATTCCAGGGCAGTAGGCTAAGCAAATTCCTAGGGGGGCAGTGGCGGATCCAGGATTTCAAGGAGGGGGTGAGAAACAAATGGGGGGTCTGGGGGGTTCTCCCATAGAAAATTTTGAAAATGTAGATCGCAGGAGATGGTATTTGAGGCACTTTTGAGTACATGTACAGCCTTCATTCTGACTACGACAATTCTCTTTTAGTAGAACAATTTATTTTATAAATTTTGCAGACCTGCCGCAACAAAAGCCATTGTATGCCACTGAAACATCTCGGAGTACTCCAATTGTACACAATCATAGAACTGTGGCATTTTACTACCGTGCATTTTGATTAATTCATTCAATTTAATTATGTGATTGTCTGAAGATCGCATTGTCGGATGGATATTACACGAAATTACAAGTCCACGGCTAAAACAACTTATTGTTCAATTTACCTGAATTACCTAGCCTATCTACTGAGAATTTACCATAATCTAAAACGTCACAAGTAGTAGAGTAATACTAGCAACTACTACAGGTACACTCCCAGTGCTACTACATAGTAAAAAAATAAACGCTGTTACCAACTACTAATCCTGCTAACAATGCTACGGCGACAACGACGACGACGACGACGACGACGGCGGCGGCGGCGGCGACGACGACGACGACGACGACGACGACGACGACGACTACTACTACTACTACTACTACTACTACTACTACTACTACTACGACTACTACTACCGCTGCTACCGCTGCTGCTACCGCTGCTGCTGCTGTTACTGCTGCTGCTACCGCTGCTGCTGCTGCTGCTGCTACTGCTGCTGCTGCTGCTGCTGCTGCTGCCGCTGCCGCTGCTACAGATTCTGCTACCGCAAATGTATCATTAGTGTTATTACTAGATTATCGTAAAATTCGTTTATATTCAACACATTGTACGATCACCTATATAGCGAAGCATGTAAACATGTAGCTTGACATACCTGGCATGGCTCTGAGCAGTAGGAGGCGGGAATGTCTCCAGTGTTACCTCTAAACTTAAGCCGCGTGTAGTTGACAATCAGCTGCTCATTGCCTCCCTCACCTGTCCGCATGCAAACCGATCAACACCAAACAGAAAAATATGAAGCCCGCCGTGTAAGCGCGTCCATCTATCGCGTTACGCATTGTTTTAATGACTTGCAGTCACTGTGTGGCGGAGCGTTCACACACCGCTATAATCGCGGACGTAAGACCACCTCTCTCACACTTACAGCCGGCGCACGCGTTCTCGTAATCTATCACTATCATGTGATTCATTTCGTGCGGGTTTGTTTTGTGTATCAAATGACATATTTACGCTATTTTAAACTGTCAGCAAAAATGTCAACCGCTATTAATTTTTCACACATTTTTCGTAAATTCAAATGCGCACGCACTCGAGACGGTATGACATATTATCAGGAGTCTATCAATATATATTGATAGACTCCTGATATTATGCGATGTATTGTAGCGGGGCGGCCGCGGCACACACGTTTCCCCGGCCAATGGGTGGGAAAAACTCACTGCCGACACATTCCGTCGGCGGCAGACGTGGCATTGACCTGCACGTACTATAGGTGCCGCGGCTTTATTGAGACTAGACGAGCGGTACCGTGGTGGTGTGTCGCGTGGTTGCCGCTTTCCACCCGCGGCGCCGAACACTCTCTGCTCACGGTCGACAGTACGGAGTACCGACACGCGCGCACCCCACCGCGGCATTACCGCGTATTACCGTACATAACCGTACATTACCGTGCATAACCGTACATTACCGTACATTACCGTGTAATACGGTACACATACCGTACATTACAGTACATTACCGCGTATTACTGCATGTGCATTACCGCGCATTAGGGTACATTACCGTGCATTACCAAACATTACCCTACATTACCGTACATTACCGTAAATAATCGTACATTACGGCGCATTACTGTGCATTACCGCACATAAGAAGCGTACATTACCGAATACTACCTACATAACCGCATATTACCGTACATTACCGTGTGCTTTACCGTACTTTACAGTACATCACCGTGAACTACCCTACATTACCATACATTACCATGCATTACCATACATTAACGTGCATTACCATACATTAACATGCATTACTATACATTGATATTGTAGACACGAGGTTTGCATTCATTAAATCAGTTAATAATTTTATAACTCCGTTGAGATTATCGGCCAGCAGATTGATTCTTGTAAACGAGGGCAAGATCGACGAGTCGGATGGGATGTGTGAAATAGAGTCGACGACCGGCAGTTTCGCTCAGGCAAGGCAGCGGCTAATGTTGTTGTTTATGCGCCGAGCGGCGTTTGTTTATGCACGAATTTGGCACACGACCGAGAAGCAACTCGGCCCTTCCCGGAGGAGGGTTCGACACAATAGAGAGATACTCCTGTCTCGTGAAATAGAGAGCGATCGTGGGTGTTGGATCCTTGTAAGGATGGACCGATTAATTACCCACATAACCGACGGTGTACATAGGGATATTCTAAATCGGGGCATCTGCTGGACAGTTTCGGACGTGCACGAGGGCTGCAGGGATGGTTCCTTGTTTGGACAGGGGTTTGTGGATGCTAAATTTAAGCGTGTATATATATAAGACAGTACGAGCGAGCATAGTCAGTGTGTCTAACATTGTCTGTGCCTGCAACGTGCATCGATATTCAGTCCGTAAGTATGTGAGTTCTTTCTTTAACTAATGGCTTAAGGTTCATGCCACTATAGATCTATGCCACTATAGACCTATATCTGTCTTGTTTCTTATTTGTTCTATCGTAGTGAGCTATCTTCTAGTATGTGCAATAACCTTTCTATATTTCTAAACGTAGTTTCTTATAGCTGTGTAAATTGTACTCGCACTGTGTTAATCGTCAGCACCTCTCCGTGTACTATCGTACGTGTATTTCTATTAACTACAGGAGCTTTCCTGAATAAATCTTATTCTTGTGGCACCGTCACACTTTCTTGTGCTTTGTGAATATCAAGTGTTAACATTTCTATACACTTCTTGTAAGACGGAGAACCCTGTCTACACTATATATTACCGTGCATTACAATACATTGCCGTGCATTACCATACATTGCCTTACATTACCATACATTACTTTGCATAGGTATGCCCGGAAGAGATGTGTATGGTAAAATCCGCTCTAGAACTTTTGGTTCGGCTGCAGCAACCCGTCACAATCCTTTCCCTATGCTAATGTACATCGGAATTGCGCTCGGGTCGTTGGACGGGTTGCCAGCCAAAGTAATGTTCTTCGGTCAAATTTACGCACTCAAAATATGCAGGGGCATGCTCGATAGAGATGTGCATGATAAAGTCCGCACTAGAAGTTTTACTTTGGCCGCAGCATCCCGCCACAATCCTGTCCCTATGTTAATGTACATCCATTGAAATGGCGCCCGCGTCGCTACTACATGTACACTACATGTTGTATTGACGTAATGTTTTCGACAGCAAGCGCAACAATCTATTTTAGGGAAGGCAATTAGTGCGAATAGTGGACATTGATGGATAAAGCGTGGTTGAGTTTTTTTTTGCGTGACTTTCGCGTGTAGTACGTAGTCGAGTACTACGTAAGATGTATAGTTGAGGTCATGTTACTGGCAAATATAAGGCTAAGAATCGCCATTAAAATCTTCGTTCTTGTTTACGTGCAGTCACTGTATTGATGGACGCTCACGCACACTTACGCTTCACCGGACATAATCAGGTGTGATTAATTACAGACTCTGAGACAGACTCATGACAGAACCTGTCATTATTCACCTCTTGATATAATTGAATACAAATGATGCGCATGTGACCAGGATACTCGGTGTCTTCGACACACTCCAGCCTTCGTCACAAGTGGTGCCGCGTGACCAGGTTAAAGGCCCGCTACTCACCGCAGAGGAGCACTGTTTCACTTTGAGCGGCTCCGACAAGGGTATATCGTATCCCGCGACCACGCACACGTTTCACTCTGTGTCTGGTGACCGGGATATATTATATAGCGACGGTTAATTGGAACTATTACTACCGACCAACATAAAAGGAAGAACGCGTTTCGTTACAATATCATATTATGATACGGAAATTAAAGAAGTTTTCTTTCAGAACAAACATTTTGTCAAATTTTGTTTACAGGTAATAACTTTAGCAGAAGGCTGGGCTGCTATTTGTATTCGATGTTACGCGTTGCGAGTTTAAACGTTCCCTGTTGACACACGTTAATTGGTTAATAAAAATATTGCCGCCAAAATAGCTTTTAATTTAATTTAATTAAATCTAGAATCGCTCATATTTCTGTATAGTATCGCGATGATTTATCGGCGTTATGTGAAACTGCAGTGTCATGCGGCTTCAGTACCGCTAGCAAACTCCACGACAGATAGCGCTCTCGCTCTGGCTCAATTCTACCTGAGTGTG